TCTCTCTCTCTCTCTCTCTCTCTCTCTCTCTCTCTCTCTCTCTCTCTCTCTCTCTCTCTCTCTCTCTCACTCGCTTCCTTCTCCCTTCCTCCCGCTCTCCTTCCTTCGTTTCTTCTCACACTGAAAAACTACTTAAAAGTCACAAAGAACTTTTGGAACATTAATCAATATTGTGACATTGCTGGCTCGTTAATTTCCTCGTGAAATTGATTGTTTCCCTGAACAACGATAATATCACGGGTGAAATGAAACGTCAAAGCGCCATGCAGCGATACTTGTAACCGAGTCGATTTTCCGATTTTCGTCGGACCTCACAGACTTAACGATCTGTAAATCTGCATAGACATCAAACGTCGCGTTCTCCGAATGTGGGTTGGCGTCCCGCCGATTGAGAAAAGGATGAGGGAAGGGTAGGGTAGGCTCTCTGTCGCTGCACGAATAAATGGTGCCTTTTGCGGGTCGCCGCCGAAATGAGAGACGAAGAGTAAGAAGAATGGGGAGAAAGAGAGAGAGAGAGAGAGAGACAGAGAGAAGGGAAGTGTACAGCGCGGGGTGTAAGACGCGCTGCGCTTCCCTCGGCCTATACCTGATGCGATCGACCCTCCAAAATCTATTCCTGGAAGAGTTCCACGGGACACACAAGAGCCGCGCGTGTGATATCCGTCCGCACGCATACGCTCTCCTCCGTAGACTCCTCTCGTTCACGCTGCGAGAGCTTTCAGTCGCCGGTGGAACGTCGATCGCTGCACTCCCTGCCGCTGCCTCGTTTACAGGCAGCCGCCACGCGCGCACAGATGCTTCTTCCTTCAAGAGTTCCCTCGAGTGACGGCACATCGACGCTTCTACGGACGAAGCGCAGACGGTTCTTATTTTCAATTATTTCCCTCGCTTGGAGGAACACCTTACCGTACCCAAAGAGGACACTGTCGCGGGGACTTTGAATCTTCTATTTTCCGCGCGTTGCTTCGATCGCGCGTTCTTTTCTTTATGTCATCCCACACGCGCATTATTAAAATCCATGGCATTTCGAGAGCAGTGTTTCGATTGCATTTATGCCGAGGTGGCTTTCGCGGTAATGTGACACGGTTTCGTGGCGGCAATGTGGTGTATAAGGTGTCATCGAAGAGCATAGGATGCGGCCTTGTGTGCGGGGGATCACGCTCGCAGACAAGGAGGGATAAGGGATTGGCATACGAAAGGAGAGCACTCGCTCGTGACAAATATCCTTTATGATGTGGTGCGTGATTCCGATTAAACTGACTCAGACGATCACGTCCGTCTGTTGTGACATACTGAAGTTGCTTCTTAAGAAGCCGGACCTTTTCCTCAAGCTAGTCGTACAGACGTACAGTATAACTGGGGAAAAAAGTGCTCGGCCAACAAATTATTTTTGTTCTTATTAACGCGTCACCAAACGGTATCTCCGGATGAATGTTCTTTATCTAATACCAGATTCTTTGACAGGCAGAAAAACATTTTCAAGTGGAAATATGTCAACGCTTGCGCAGTCTCCAAGTAATTAGCGGCTAGACTGTAATAATAAAAAAATCTCCAATCAATCGGGCTTCGAGAAGAAAAATAAATAGCAAAATTATATCTTTAGATAATTTTTGCGTCAATGGAATTTAATTTGTACAAAAATATACTTACGATATATAATTTCATGCAAATAATTAAAAAAAAAACGGAAAGGGATGATACGTTTCTACAGTTTTGTTAAAAAAACATTGTTAACGAAGTTTACTTGAGAGGATTTTTTAATCTTCCAGAGATGATGTGCACAGAATCTTCCAAACCTCTGATTTCATTTTAACAACAGACTCTTCTGTGCTAAGACTTTCCACTTAAAATTTAATTCAAACTTAATCGACACTTATCGGGAGGAGAGTCAGAGCGTGTTTTTCCACCGAAGAGCGCATCCGCTCCGAGTGTTTCGATAGAATCTGTTTTTTCGACAGAACCTTTTCTTAAAATCTTCGCCGTTTCACAGTGGCAAGCTGTGTTCAAGTGTGTCAACTTGTGTCTCCCGAACGGAAAGCAGCCTAAGTCTAGCATCAACTTTCGTCGGTAAAATTAAGGCAGTATTAACGCACTATCTCATTAACGTTGCAATATTAACAGCGAACGATTCCGATTATGCGCCGCGTAATCGTTTTGACATTTAATTGTAATACCATCATTCGATTCTCTGATTCTCTCAGACTGTCTAACGTGGTACTCTTGGATTTGGAGAAAAAAAACAAGCAATAATACAACTACACTGTTTCCCGTAAGCCCCTGTCACTAGATCAGCTGACGTTATTTTACAAAAGTGTCATTATCGTTACAAATGTACTAAAAATACCGGTGTTGTTCATAAAATATGCTAATTATCCTACTTTACACATAATTCTGCTCACAGTTAACAAACATCAATATTAGTTTCGCTGAAACGGCTTTGGGCGATATTGGGTACATACACAGTAAAAAATCGTGTGTTGAAATGTTAAAATTTTCTTGTGTTGCCAAGACTTGATTATTGTTTCAATGTAAAGTTAACATAAAACAGACATGCTATTATTTTCGTATTTTCGTATAACATTTTTACGCGTTGTATTTATGTTAACATAATAACTTGACACTTTACGTACGTCATTTAAAAAGTGAATACCATTTTGAGTTCTTTTAACACAGCCATTTCACAAAATCAACCGAAACGTGTAATATCGACTTTTTTTAAATTTTATTTCAACTGTTTTAATTTGTAACTATTTGTACAGTTTACTTGTCCTGTCTGTTTTTATTACACCAGACAACACAAGCGCGCCATTTGCTCTCTCTAAAAATTCGCATGGTTTGACAACTGCAAATAACACGACTGAAGCATGTCGTATCGCACAAGCGAGACAGCCAATCAGCATCTCGGAAAAGCGACAACAATACTTCGAGACTTTCGACTATCAACTTAACACGCCTTTTTTTTATATAGGATCACACTTGTGGTTAAAAAAAACATAAACATAAATGTGAAGTATAGCATTAATTAACATTTATTATTTGTCAAAAAGTAACACACGCGATAAATGTTATTTAAACTTGTAATTTATAGTGGACTTTTCGGGACATGTGGAAAATGTTAACAGTAACATTTTATTGTTTACCGTGTAGGCGATATTTGGTGCCACTACCCTATTTTTCCGCGCCCCATAAACGTTCGCGCGGCCATGGTAATTGCAACGAAACGCCGCGCCATGGAGGGATGATCGCGTTACAGAGGATATATTTATACGCATTTAGCGCGAGGACGGAATAATTTGCGCTGCACTTGTCAGCGCGATAGGGAGCGGCCCGGCGACGCCTGGAGACAAAATTGCCACGCTGATAATTTCGCGAAACGCTAACGCAACGCCGCTTGGTGAAACGTTTGCGAAATATTTCGGCTGGTTTCCTCTTTCGCGAACGCAGACGCGCTTCCGCTGTTCAGTTTCGGACTGTCACTCTCTCGGATGTCAACCGCAGTCCGCGCGCGCACTCGCTATGCGCGTTCAGCCGGGCACATCCGTGATTTATCAGTTTCGCGTTTCTCCCTCGCGTCCCGCTCGCGGTGTAAAAACGACGCTGAACGCGCAATGCAAGGCGCGAGAGGTGGTTCGCGTGGCTGTCTCTCGTTGATTTTCGTCGGAGGTCGTCGGTCAGTCGTAACGCTGTAAAAAATTGATGGAAATGGCGGGGAACGTACACTTTTGTGAGATTTAAGAGAATCCTAAAGTCATCTGTTTTACCGACACATTCGAATATAGTTTTTGCGCTGGTAAATCTTTTTATTAGCTGTTATGCACAAAATAATACCAGAATAAGTTGCAGACCAAATAGCAAAACGTTTTTATACTTAAAACACTCAGGTCAGAAGTCTAATGAAAAAGATATTGGTATTTGAAATTTTCAATTTCAAACTACTAACAATTAAAAAATTGAAAATTTCAAATACCAATATCTTTTTCATTAGACTTCTGACTTGAGTGTTTTAGGTATGAAAATGTTCTGCTATGCGGTCCGCATCTTATCCTGGTATTATTTGTGCATAAAAATTAATAAAAAGATTTACCAGCGCAAAAACTATATTCGAATGTGTCGGTAAAACAGATAACTTTAGGAACCTCTTAAGGAACCATCCAATCTCCGCGAGAGTGAACAGCTCCGCTTTTTACTTCTTCTCCTTCTTCTTCTTCGTGTATTAGACTTAAAGCCTGTTTATCCGGTTCATTCTGGTGCTTTGAGCATTTGGTTTCACTTTATCTTCATCTTCTAGCTAGGCTGCTGCCCCCGCCGAAGAAAACCTCCAACCTGGAGGGCTATACCCCTAAAGACCCAAACACGCGAGAAAACTTGAGCAGTGAAACTTAAGACTTAAGGGAAATGGCCAGTTACTGTCGAGAATGTAAGCAGCCATTTTAAAAAGCAACGCTGAAAAATTCGATTGATTGAAATTCTAAGTTTTACTGCCTACGATTTTTCGTGTGTTCGGGCCTTAAGACGGACTTAAGCGTTTACGGATCGTTCTCTGCCATCAGCCTTAGTTCGTCGACTCCATTTTAGATCCGCTTTAACCCCGAACGCTCCGCATCTTGATCCATCATGCAAGAGATTCATTTTTTTTTCTTTTTAATTCTCGATGACTCTCATAAGGATTAAAGCGAGTCGACAGGGATAGGCGGGAACGAGGAGGAATTCAATAATTCCAGGCGCGCGATTGGTGATATGGAAGTTGAGGAATTTCTCGCCCCGGCTCCCAGAAATACCCTGTCGGTTCGTCCCGTTTGACGTAATTTTCTGCAGGAGGAATAAAAGGGGAATACGAAATTTTGTTTACAGTCGACAATGGTCCGGCGACGAGGAGGACGAGGGGACGAGAACGGGCCACGTGACAACCGAGCACCCCTTGGCCGAGGCCACGATCCCTCTGGTCAGTCATTCCAGGCTGCAGGAGCCGCCGTCCGTCCTGAATGTCGCCAATGTGCCCACCGGCGGAAGTCAGAATGCTGCGCATCGCGCGCAGAGCCAGCAAGAGAGCGTGTTGCAGAAATTCCGTAAGAGCTTCTCGCTGAGGTTCCACAAGAAGGGCAGTAAGGAGAGCAACGAGGAATGCCCCGCGGAGGACAACGACGGCACCGGGCCGCTGGACGAGGAGGAGAGCACGGAGACGCCCTCCGTAACCACGTCCGACCAGAGCAGCCAGCACAAAGACGATTCTAGCAATGACCAGAAATTCCGGTTCGTATCGCGCCCCCGCTCCCTTTCATTCCCGGGCGCGACCTTACACCCACAGAAAAAATTTTCGGATCCAATGCTATTACACTTGAATGTATCATAAAATAGGATCGATATGGCGCCAATCATATTTATTATAGACCCTAGCGGAAAAAAAGTTCTATAAATAACTACAAAAATTGACTTGAAATAGAAATTTGTAGAAATTTTTATATCTTCGTTGAAACATTAATTTTTTTGTAAAAATATCTACGAAATAGTATACAATGTTCTTAAATCAAGAAATTATTGCAAATAGTATTTCATGAAAATGTACAATTTTGTAAAAATTAGTACAAAACTTTACTAGTTTTGAAAAATTGAGAAACAACAAAATTTTAAAGAATTACATCATCTGCTTACTTGTAGAATATTACCGAAATTAACAAAAGTGTTTCATAAACTAATCAGAAACTCTTCAGAGTCGCCAGCAAAAATTAAAAACATATAATTTGGTTGACCATATCTGGCAATTTTAATGATTTAGTATCGCTACGTTTCGACCATGGGTTTTGGTCCTTTTCAAGCGAGTGTAACTACAAAAAACTACAACCGTCAAATTAATATCACAAATGTTAACACTGTATCAATCTGTAAAATTTAAATTTCTAGTTACACTCGCTTGAAAAGGACCAAAACCCATGGTCGAAACGTAGCGATACTAAATCATTAAAATTGCCAAGTGTTTGAATTCTGGTATTTTCATGTTGATTTTTATAACACTTTTTAAATTTACGTAGAATTTCTTAGATTCTGACAGTTATATTTTAGTTTTTGTAGTATATTTTATTTTTTTGTAGAATTTTGTAGAATTATTTCTGGCAGGGGAGGAATATTTTACTGGTAGAACGTGTAGTAAAATTTCGAAAAACTCTCGTACAATTCTTCAAAATGCCATAGTTTTCCTGGTAAATTTCAAGAGAAAATTCTCTCCGTGTAGTCTGTTTAGATCCCGGCGATTGTATAAACTGTCAAAATAAGTCACACGTTTGACATAGGCCGGCAATCGAGGAAATCGCGTCGATTCCCCAACGATACTTATCTCGAGGAGAGACGCTTGACCGCGATTTAACCGAATATGTTTAGATTCGGCCCGCTCGTCTGGAGGAGCAGCAAGGAGAGGAAAAAGGGCAACAAAGCCGCCCGAAACGCCAAGTGCAACAGCGGAGACAGCGGTATACAAATCGAGGTGAGAAAGAGGGTGGTAAAACGAAAGAGAAAGGGCGAGATCTCTCGGTTCCTCCTCCTCCGAGAGAGAGAGAGAAATTCCGTTGAAAGTTGAAGAGACGGGTTCGAATGACGTCTAAGGGCGTTTGAAAGATTGGAACGGCTTCTCGGCGAAGCGGGAGAGTCTTACGCGGTTGAGGGGCGTCTTAATCTATCGAACACCTCTCGGACGTCTCGCGGACGTCTTAGACGACGCCCTCGAGGCGTCCGCGTTGCTTCACTCGGCTCGAAAACGAGCTGACACACGGAGGAAGTAAATATCGTTTCGCACGAATGACGTAGATGGTATCTGGTGGAGCGTTGACTGGGGGCAGCGGCGGCGGAGTGATGGGCGGCGGTGACAGTTCCGAGTCCCACGATACGGATGACATTCCCGACGACACCGACAGCCCTCCGGCTCTTCGCAGACGAGTTGCCGATAAATTGCGGCCCCAGTCCGAGCTCATCAACCAGATACTGATTGACAAGTTCAAGGTAAACTTTTCATTCCCTTTCCCGTCCTTGTTGCAGCTGACACCTCTCGTATCTTCGTCACCTAGGGACCCTGTAACCAGAGACTGGCCGTAAGAGTTCGTCAAATTCGAGGGTGAGAGAGAAACATGGGCTATCTCACTCTTCTACGATCGTAACGATGAGATGGCCTATGCTTCTCTCTCACTCGTGGGAATTTGACGAACTCTTATGGCCAGTCTCTGATTACAGGGTCTCTTTAAGGTACCGATACTTCAGCTCCTCGTGTTATAAAAATAGTGGACGCGAATCGCGATGGATACTCGAATCGCGTGATATTAATCAATGATACGTCTAACGCGCGATCTTTGTTCTTCGTTTCGACGTCAGAAACTGGAATGGCAGCGAATATAGCGAACGGTCCTTTATCGTACAAGGGCGTGAAAGGGCGTGAAAGTTCAAATATTTTTAACGCGGCTTCTTTCGAATTCATCTCTCGCGAGACGAGCAGACGCGAATGGACGTTTTATTTTTATGCGGATCCGCTTGGCTGCGTGTAGGCGATGACTTACATTACTCATTAATAGTAACGTGATAATCGCGGCGCTTATCGGTTCTATGGTCGTAACTGTTTCCTCGATAGCCAGAATTAGTCACTCTCGCGTACGTTTGACCACGTTCGCAGAGAGATTCGCTTACGCCGTTGCGCGATAGCCGGTTTTATATCGCGAGCGCCAGGATACCGGGAGAGGAAACGCGCCCGCCATTAGTCGATACGGAGCTGTTCGCGCGATCGTCCGCGATTAATTCCGCGATGTGTGAAGAACCCGGTCCCGCAGTTGCATGAAATCATTTCGTTGCGTGCGCGAAAAACAACTGTTGTGTGTATCATCGATCAATCACGTCGCATGGAAGTTCGTTCTTTCGATGTCGTCGAGGAATAATGTCGATAATTGACGGAGAACGAAAGGTAAAGTGTCATTAATTTCTTATTACATTTGCGGACAATGTTGTTCTTGATCTTTAAAATGTTCGCATTGCATGTATATCGTGCGTCATCTTGAAGTCAACTTCTCCTTAATGAAAATTAAGCATCGATAGTCTTTTCTTTAAATTACAAGCGATCGGGAAAAATAGATTTTTCGCAAACTATTAAAAACATCAAGAGATTAAAAATGTTTTCTATACAAAATTAAAAGTAACTGGAGATTACATGGATACTTGAAATGTGTAACTCAAGAAAGGATAATTTTATTTTCATCAAGTTATAAACGATTGGGGAAAAATGAAAGATTTTTCGCGAACTAAACTTTGAAAAATTTATTGGACAACACAATATATTCTTCGATCAATTTTACATGGAACTCACTGTAATAGAATTTAATATTTGAAGCTAAATTATAGAGATATAGTGCAAAACGTTGCAAAATTGCAACAAACGATAATCTCGACACTTCCGATAAGGAGAAATTAATTTTCAACTGGCCGAAGTGTCAAAAGCATATCAAGAATTTTTTTATGTTCTATACATACATCAAACGTAATCGCTTTTGTAACTGGAGATTACATTATAGATTCTTGAAATTTGTAACTCGAGAAAGAACAGTTTTATTAAAAATTCAAGAAGAAAAGAGAACGAAGGAGACCGATATCGCTTGGATGAAGGCAAAATAAAAGAAAAAAACATTCTTACCGTGTCTCATATATACAGTTACATTAAAGTAACGCATAGTGCATTTTCAGGAGCATATTAAATTTCTTGTTATTTCCCACGATACACTGAGCTGCGACATTAACTCGTCGCAGGGAAGAGAGGGGGACTTGCGCGGGGGAATCATGCATTTTGGGAGGAGGGGGGGGGGGGAGCGGAATTAATCAATCCGCGCGTTTAGCAATTAACGCGAATTAATTGCAGATCCTCATGAAAATCCGTATGACTGTTCCAGACGGATTTACAGACCCGTGCGTCGCGACATAATCACGTGCGTCGCACGAACAGCGACCTAGGGGGGCAGAGGTTGCTCCAATGGGACACGAGGTCCGGATACGTTCACAATTATCGCAGGATGCTGTCGACCCCGTCGCCGATCAAGACGAGACCGCCCAGGCTCAGCCCGAGGCACTCCTCCCATGATATCGTTACGCTCAGAAGGTGCGTTTAATCATGACAATCGCGCCTCGTGTTCAAGCAACCCTTGTCGCGTACGCCTCATTAAATCATCGCCATTTGCGAATCACGTCGGCTCTTCGCGAAGGCCGGAGAAACCCAGGCAACCGTTGCGTTTGGATCCTCGTGTCGATCCCCCATGAAAAAGTATATGTATATCCCAAAATACATATATCATATAATATATCAATATTTATACGTTAATATATATAAATGTATATATAAAATATGCGAAAGAATGCATATAACTAATTAAATCATTTCTTGCCGCCTATGGCATAGAAGAAATATGTATAAGAAAAGACTATACAGGTTGTCTCATTTTAAATGATCCGCGCAAATATCTCCAAAAATATGAAAGATACGGGAAAACGTTTCAAACATAAGTTGTTTGGTTCGAAGGGGGACATCAAAATCTTTCATACCTTTCAATATCTTTCATATCTTTGGAGATATTTGCATGGATCATTTAAAATGAGACACCCTTATATGCAATTGATTATATATAACACATATATTTTAAAATATATGTAATATATTACACATATTTTTAAATATATTTTTACATGTATATTTTTTCATGGGGGATACGCTGGTATCAGACGGGCCTCGCGCTTGAAAATCTTCAACGAGAGAAAATACACGTAAATACACGGAAAAAATGTATCAACAAGACCAGTGTAATTGAAATAAAACCGTTGAAACAAGTATTAATGAATGAGAAACATTAGATAGTTGTCTTAATAATCTGGACATTTAGTTCGAGGCTCAAAATTAAAATCCATAGCAAATACAATTGAGCGAATTATTTATGTTTGTGGCAGTCCGCGACGTTAACGTTTAAATCAGACAACTTTTATTTTATTCAACAGCATTTTTTCCATATAATGTATAAAAAGAGCTATAGAAAGTTGTAAATCCATCGAACAGTCAAGTGATTTTTTTTCAGTAAAGTGAAAGTAGTTTGAGTAAAAACAAATCCCATTAAAAGCTTTAATGATCTTCCTTATTATTCGCGAAGCTACTTTTAACGTATTCTATCTGAAGGGTTTTCTGAGCGGAGCTATAATTGAAAGAGGTTTTTTCTCTCCTTAATATCGTCTTACAATGTTATTATCGTAGATTTTTCATTATAATTCCTGCAAATATTTCAAATTTTTAAGTCATTTATGAGTGTCTTATATTACGTACAAAATTGCTTTATTTAATTAAGCTACACGAGATTTTACAATCACTGGATACGCTGCTATTCTCAATGTGTAAAAGGTTACAAGGTTTTCTACGAGAGGTTTTTCTTCTTGGTAATATTATCTTACAATTTTATCATTCTTTTATCAAAATTTCTTCAAGTACCTCGAACACCAAGGCCTTGAAAAATATTAACGAATGTCCCGTTCGACGGGCAAAACTGTCGACACGCTTCAACCGCGAGACGTTCGCGTTTGAGGTCCGGGCAACGTTTCCTTGGGTTTCCGGGACCGAGGCGAGCATAATCTTTCGCACTCTGCGAGTGTGAAAAGCTAGCAGTGTCGAGGAGGCGTTAAAGGAAAAGAGAAACATGCGAAACGAAAAGACGTATCGGACGCTTGTTAATTCCGCTCTTCTTAGCCGCACGGCCGTTTACCTACTGTAGCCTGACGCGCTCGCTCGCTCGCTCGCTCGCCCGCTGCTTCTTTACTTACGAATCAATGACAATTCTGACTTCCTCTCACAAAACGCGACACTTATATCGCGCGATCCCACATCTCGAATCGACAAAAAACCCCCGAAAAACAAGTGACAACCTGGGAAAACTTAAAATTCTTTGTTCTCGAACCTTTCCAGTAAATCGAGGGAGACCAGTGGTAGGTAGACGGGTATTATAACAAACCACCTTCTTTAATCTTTCCTCCAGTAAAAAGTTGATCTGCCACGCGTAACATACGTATATATACATATGTATATATACATACCTCTTGTCGTGTGTTGTACTCTCTCTATATATATACATATACATATTATACCTACCTATACTGTAATCTGTTGCTGAATGTTGTACCGATATGCTTAATTACCTGAGTACACGCTTTTGTCGATCCCTTCGCTCGATAACGCCGCACGTTAACGCGGTACAGACACGAATTACCGTCGAATTAACAAATTTCTCTCTCTTTTTCTCTCGCGCTCATCAGTAACGCGAAAGGGAGGAGTTCTCGGACAAATTTGAGGCGGTCGCTTAGCCAGCCACTGGGAATCAATCAGCTCTCGCCGCTGATGCGCGCCAAAACCGCAGGTAAGCACCGTCATCGTATTTGCCTCTGATGTCTCTTAACTTAAGATAGACCTCGGGCTCTCTGACGTAGATCACGTTCCTCTCGTCTTGTCTACCAGGCACGCGCGTCGACGCTTCCCTTATCGCGCCTGTAAAATCGCGAGGCCGCACGTCTCTCCTCCAATCGTCACTGTCGAGAAGAATTATCACGTTTGAAATATTTTACAACAAATTAATCTGGATTCTTAAAAAGTACATTCGTGGTCGGGAAGGTTGTCCGACGTTTTTTTGATAAATTTCGGAAATACAGTCTATCATGCGAGAGATTATAGCTTTTGCTCGGGTATGTGCTGTGACGCATTATTAGGGCAAAGGACATGTACGAATATCCAAGGTTGGGAAGTAACTCGTTACAGTTACAGTTACTTCTTTTTTGGTAAATCTAACTTAACTCCGTTACTTTCTCTCCCAGTTACATTTTTTCGATAACTAGTAACTAATTTAATAGTTGCTTTATACAGGGTGTCCCATTTTAACTTGGACAGTAAAACATGTCAAAAGCTAAACCCAGCAAACAAAAATGTTTCAGACAAAAGTTGTATGGTTTCTAAGAAAATAACTGCTAAGTAACGATTCGTTACTTTTTGAGTAACTGTAACTACAACGCGTTACTTTTCAGAATTGGTAACTTTGTAACTGTAACTAGATACTTTTATAAAGTAACTTTCCCAACCCTGCGAATATCAATGAAATCCCAGTGAGAAGTGACTTGTCGATCGACGTCAATGGCTTAGTTTACACCGTATTTTGTTCGCGCAACCTGGCCTACACCCTGACCTAAAATAAGCTTCCAAGTGAAACGTTTACACCATTTCCACCTACAATACTTTCAGGTCGAATATAGGTAACACAGGTAAGAATTAAGTGTGAACGCCTTCAGTTGAACGTTATCTCTTTAAGTTCGAGCAATTTTAGGCCACCTGCGTTTACACGCGATATATCACGCTGTCAACGTCGAGTCAGGGCAAGTGAAAAAGAGACCTGATCCGAGTCAGTAGGTCTACTCCGTCGTTTCTTTCGTTTTGCGTCGATCTCTTCTGCGCATCCGACATTGCTCTGGGCAGACTAAGGCCCAGTTTCACAAACATCGGTTAACTGTTAACTAGAGTTCACTCGACTCCCTATCTTTGTCCATCTTATTATTTAAGAAGAGACAGAGGATCAGTTAACCTTCGGTTAGCAGTTAACCGATGTTTGTGAAACTGGCCCTGATGAGAGAAAAGTTGTATGTGCGGTAGTGTGGCTTTGATGAGCACGTACACGCACCGGTATAAATGCTGTCCCTATCCTTGTGAGGTGCACGCACACAACTAGAGTCCTTGTAGTTGTGTGCGTGCACCTCACAAGGATAGGGACAGCATTTATGCCGGTGCGTGTACACACATACGCCGCTGGATTGCTGCCCAGAAAAATGGCGGGATACCACGTGATCGAGACCGCAAAGATCAAAGGGGCCGACAGAGGACTTTCTAGTTGTACTATAGTCGATTCGTTTATCAATTGTTTACACCGTCACGACCTATCGCGAATAGGTAAAATATAAGGTGTAGGTAAACGACCTACACGCACGGCGCAAACTAGGCCAATATGACGGTTTCGATGTCGACACGACATCGTTTCGACGAGTCATTTCTCACTGGGATGATACATACGAATATTCGGAAAATTTATTGTGAAACGTCGGGACAACCTTTCCGACCACGACCGTACATCGCGGAATTTAGCTAACACAATATAAAGAAAAAAATGAAGCAAAGAGAGAAACGAAAGAGAGCGATACAGAGAAGAAAATTCTTTTAGCGATCATTTATATGAAGCGCTCGAGAAGATAGATGTTTCCGTGCGGTAACCGGAATCGTTGGAGAGATTCATGTCGGAAACGCGTTTGCCGGGTAGATAGAGTTTACACGCCAGTAGAAAACCCTCGATGATATCTAGTGCACCGTATACCACAGAGACCGCCAGTTTCTCTCTAGACATCACCTTGAAGAGTATATTCAGCATGCATTCCTCGTAAAGATATTGTTGAGACCGTTCACACCGTGTTGCCGTCGAATGCACCCTCTTGAGAGAGAGAGAGAGAAAGAAAGAAAAAAAGAGAAAGGAAGGATAATTGCGCGAGAGTAAGGAATGGGACATCCCTGTGTAATAATCGTGCTCCGTTTCATCCCGCCCTCCCCCTGTAAAAACGTTGCTTCGTGTGGAAACGCTTCCGTTCTTTTTCGTTTTGCGATAAGGAACCCGGTTTGCCGGAGAGAACCTCGTAAAAGCGCTTCCTCGCACTTCTCGCCCCTCCCAGCCGCGGGGGAGACGCGATCTCCCGAGGGTGCGATCAATTCGCACGTATGCGGTTAACTGAATACTTAGGAGGGAGATACTCCGGCGGGCTTGGTTACCTTCTCTCGAGGAATCTCATGAAAACTACTGTTTCATTCTTTTTCCGCCCACGCCGAGAGCTGCACGGTGGACGGTTTTCGGCCCGGGGGGCTGACGTACTTGTTGTCCCAATAACTTCCAGAGGGATTCCTCCGGCGAGCGTAAACGGCGCGCAATGTCGCTTACGTTGTGGGACGTTCTCTAGGATTGTTCGCCGATTGTTTTGCCCGGACGAAACAGTTTTACTGCTAGTGAATTAAGCGGCGAGATACCTCTTCGAAAAAAGCGACTTGATTTGCATTTCTTTCTTTTCTTACGCTTTTAATGGCCTCTCTCTCTGCAGAGTTTGCGGAGAAGGAATTTGAGAACGTACCTATTGAGAAGATAACAATGTTACAGAACTCCGATTAGTTTCCATTTAACTTTTCACCTGCGTTCTCTTTAAGATTCGAGTCAAAGTTTAACGGCCGATTCGCCCGAGGGTATGTGTTCATGCCCGTTTTCTTTTATATTTCTACTACAATAAAGTTCTATTCCTGAAAAAAGTAGGCGCAAGATTGCCCGGTGGCAATGTGCTATCAGAGGACGAGCAGGATGGAAGAGCCGGAACATCGGAGGACGACGAGATGATGTCCGATTCCGAGTCATCGATCGCTTCTCTGACGGATAAGAAGAAGTCATTCGAGCAGACGATGGATGAGGAAATCGTCATGTTGGCTGAGGCTGTTTGGGACCATGTGGCAATGGAGCCAGAGGAGTTAGCTTTTCGCGCCGGGGATGTTATCGACGTCCTCGATACACTGGACAGGGATTGGTGGTGGGGCAGCTGCAGAGGAGAGCACGGATGGTTTCCGGCCGCTTTTGTCAGAGTAAATATCCTAGAAGTCTATGCGATTGCAAACGAATGTTGTCTCTGTCCCTGAAATTATTTCCAAAATCTAGTAATTATTTATTTACATAAAAAACAACACAAATACGAGACCATAATTATAACAAAAAAAAGTTAATCTGTATTTACGTTAATTACCGAATTTTCAGTTTTGCACAGTTAAATTAAGTTAAACGTGCTGCCCAACTCTTGACGCTAGAATTACTTGAAATGATAACATATCATAAATATTCATTTAAACAAGAAACAATATAAATGCGAGACTATAATTATAACAATAAAAAGCAAAGTTAACTTGTAATTATGTTAATTACCGAAATTTTAGTTTTCTGCGGTTGCAATAAGTTGAGCTCGGCTGAAATAAATTTGTTTGCAGTTACGCGTGAGCCAAGAGGATACGGTGGAGGATTGCCTGGCCGCAATGGCCTCGGGAGGATCCTCCGGTGCTCAACTCAGGAGGCGGACAAGCATCTCCCTGCTCTCGAACGAGCAAGTGAGGGCCAGCGTGGTGCGCGAGCTCGTCCACACCGAGCGCGACTTCGTTAAGGTCCTGCGCGACGTGGCCGAGGGTTACATCAAGGAATGCCGCAGGCGCACGGACATGTTTACCGAGGAGCAGATCGAGACGATTTTCATCAACCTCGAGGAGCTCCTAGATTTTCAGTCCGAGTTCCTCAAGGATCTCGAGGACCGCGTCAACTGGGACGCGCCATACATGAGCTGCGTCGGCGAGATCTTCCTCAATCATGTTAGTGGCATTATCGAATTCGCGTTTTCTTCTTTGTTGATAATCCTATGCATACAAATGATCAATGGATCGGTGCGTCTCTATATGTCTTGATTATCTCAACTTTTTTGGACCGTATATTAAAAGTTAGAACTCTTTCTACGCGCGCGTGTGTGTACTCTGAGATATAGTTAAAGGAGACTCAAAACGTGTTATTGATTCTTTCAGAGGGCGGGTTTTCGCATGTATTCCGAGTACTGCAACAGCCACCCAATGGCCACGGCGACGCTGCAGGAGCTCTATCAGCACAATCGTTATAGCAAATTTTTCGAAGCCTGTCGACTGATGAGGGGTCTCATAGAGATCCCCTTGGACGGATATTTATTGACGCCTATCCAACGAATATGCAAATACCCCCTTCAACTGGCGGAGCTACTGAAATATACGAAGACCGATCATCCGGATTATCACAAGATCCAAGAGGCCTTGGAAGCGATGAGGGACGTCGCGGTATTGATCAACGAGAGAAAAAGGCGGATGGAAAGTTTGGAGAAGCTGGCCGCGTGGCAAATGCGCGTAGAAGGTTGGGAGGTACGTTGCTTCCTGCAGTCGTAAATCAAACTGTTTTTACAAGTTACACTTTGAATTATCTCGGTAACACTGATTATCCTCATAGTGCGATCTAAAACAATTGTCTCGAAATACGAAATACGTTTAATATCGACGGCAATCGGTCGCAGGGTGAGGATCTCATAGAAGTTTCGTCGCAACTTATTTATCAAGGTGATGCGATGAGAGTGAAGACCGGCATGTGGACGAATAACATCACGTTATTCCTCTTTGATCATCAACTGGTCTACTGCAAGAAGGACATTCTCAAGCGCAACACATACGTCTACAAAGGTCGCATCTATCTCGACACCAGCGAGGTCATTGATGTGCCCGATGGAAAAGGTAACAAATGCTAATGGCATCTCTCGATAAGCTTAAGTTGCCAGGATCTTACGATAAAAGAGCAATAACTCGTTCATTTCGTATTTTTACATAATTTTGTCATTATATAAAATTCCACTTCGCGTATTACTGTCGTCATGGTAAGTGACGTTATTAAATAATCAAGATAGAATCGATAGGGACACAAAATACCGACTTGAAATGAAAATACATCAAGCTAACGATCAATTTTGTCCGCAGACCTTCAATCGGGGGTGACAGTGAGGCATTGCCTGAAGGTGTACAGCTGCGTCCGGGACAAATGGCTGCTGTTCTGTTGCCGCACAGCGGAGGAGAAACGACGATGGCTAGCGGCGATGGCCGAGGAACGAAGACAGGTGGCTCAAGACAGAAACGACGGGTTGGAGTTTCCAGCGGCAGCTAGGCAGCTCGCCAGGCTCGCCGCCAACAGGCAGCAGATCAGACCACCGATCAAACCTCGCAGTAAGTATTTGCGATATCGGTACTCATTTAATAAAATTAGCATTTACTCGAAAATCGCTGCTACTTTGTTTTTCTTTCATCTTCTCTCGGAAATATTTTTCACTATAAATTACCATATGTTTGATTTTATATCAATTTATGGTCGACCGGTTTAACTTGATTTATCCGATATATCAGTCTATTTTTATCTTGTATTAATTTATTGATGTTGCAGACAAAACCTACAAGAGGGAATCTGCTTACGAGATGCCCACGACAATGATCGGCCAAGGCACCACGAATTCGCTGGGACGTAAGGTGGGGACCTGGTTCATGTTTGGTAGCAGCAAGAAAAGCGCGCGGCTTCAACCGTCCTGAGACAGGCCTACCTTCGTACCGTATATTGACCTGTAAAGCTGCGGCTAACGACGCTGCATCGTCCTGTCGATATCCTGGCGCGAGACACCAGGATATCGATTGCTTCGAAACCTGGAAATCTTTGCGAGCAGACGTGTGAAGATATATTTGTTAACCGATATTCCAATCGTGGTAAAATGGCACTGTTCATCTTGCAACCGGTTGAAACGTGGAAATTATCTTCTGTGCATCGACAAACGAGCCACTGCGATCGCTAGGATTTCGTAGGCACCGAGGATGAACAGCGCCTCGTCATGTGTACGGCACGAAGGTGTTTAGATAATTCATAAGTGAATTTTGTCCGACGACGTATACCTCTTCTTCTAAGGCAGGGAAAGTAATCGCAATCGATTTCATCATCCCATCTCGATCATCGTCCATGAAGAGCGATCCGCAAAATAGAGGAAACTTCCAATGATCTTTCATTCACTGCCTCTCTCACGAAAACAGACGCTTCTCTCTATCAATCAGATGTCATCGTCCAGTTTAGATACTTGTAGACAAAAGTCGCTCATTATGCCTAACTAGAATTTTGAGTCTTCGAATCAGTGCTCGCCTAACTCTTAGAACTTAAAGCAATGTTCGATCATCTTCGACGTGACGTTACGACGGCGCCCAGTCTGAAGAGCACCGTCCGTAGAGAAAACGTCTCGGAGAAGAAAAATATTTGTTACGAGCTGAGAGAGGTGTATAATCGATCTTGTAGATATTTGGCGTTAAAAATTACCGTTAATAATAGCGAACACGGGAGTACATTAGGGAAGTAGAGACATAGAGAAGTAGATAGTAAATGTATAAAGTCAATAGTGGGCTTCTGAAGTACTAAAGAGAAAGTACTAGTCATTCTTCATCGCGAATTCTTGATGAATGCCGATGAAACATCATATATATATATATGATGTATTGTTACACGCGCAATCGCTTTTTTGGGTCGAGAAGCTGGCATGGTACGTCGCACGGCTGTATTTTTTATGATAATCGAAAGACTGACCGACCGAGATGCTTCCTCGGGAGGGAACCTTGAGGTTGTAATTTTGAGAGAGAAATGCGACGGGATCGATTAGGAAGTATCTGAATTGAATTCGTTAAACAAACTTCGCCTTTCGTCTAGATTACTTGATCGTTGTTTCGACAACTTACTTTTGCCGACCAATTTTGTGTGCGTTACAACGAGAACTAATAGCAACAATATACAGTTCCACGCGAGCGTTAACAGAAGTTCGATCACCAAATCTATGTTGATTGGTTTCGCGAGGAAATTCCAATCGGTCGATTCCGCACACCACTTTACTCTCAACGAAACATGTAGACGTATTTCGTAGAGAAAATCTCCGGCGAGCTATGCAAGGTAACTCTAACTGCCTAACTAATGTTCGTTATTTCGCATCGTAATCGTAATATTTGTAGTAGTTTGTACCGAGTTGCGAACGACGGGAGGACAAGAGGACGAGAGGATGAAACGCGGGGGCGAAGGAGAGGAAATTTTATGTTTACGCGAAACAACGCAGTATTACCCATACGAAGAAAAGTGATTAAACAGGATATGTAAATACTCGCATATCACGCCTCCTTATCCGACTGCGATACGAAGCGCCCAAGCTTTCAAAAAGGGGGGAAAAAGACGAAAAAGAAGGAAGGAAGAAAGAGGAAAGGGGAGAAGATCGCGAGAATCTCTCTCAAGTTTTTCTACTCTTGTACAGACAGATGTATGAAGACTTAGCAACGAGAAAATAATATTTGTCAGCCAGCAGAAGAACCTCTGTGTTATTAATAATATGTGCATATTATCTATGCGGTCCCTTAACAAAATGTTCGATCTTGCAGTTTTAACGACTTAATCACGGATTCTGAAAGTTTTCAACACTGCCAATAAGTTTAAAGAAATACGTCTTTGTGTTCGTTAGAATTGTTTGTTCGGTCTTTTATAGAAAAAGAGACCGGTGTAATTTCAATTTTTTTCTCTCTCTCTCTCTCTCTCTACACACATATACGAGGGACAAACGCGACTATTCTTTTTGATATTTATGGTCTAAAGGGGTGTAGCACAAGCATGAGCGGGGCGACATTTGCGTTTTGTATAACATAGAAAGGTATATTTTTACTTATTTCCCAACAGCGTAATTTACTATACGACGAGGACAATATAATGATAAAAGAATGGATCAAGATTCCTACTGTACAGAGAGATCATTAGCCTGTTGATGTTTAGACTTAGGAGAGGCGCAATTTGTTGCTGGACCCAACTCATTTCAGAGTTATTTTTATAGGAGAAATGACTCATTGGTTGGAATGTGATTTTTTTTACAAGTATCGCTATTATACGTGGACTGCTTTAATGGCCAATGTAAGTATAGGGACGGGGCGTAACTTGTTAAGGATAAGAAGCAGGGGGGGGATCCCGAGCAACACGAGATCTAAAGGACATTCCCTCGGAGGAACGTCTACTGGACAGTTTCACTAGATATTCTTTTGACGACATTCGTGTGGCCTACGGGACACGATATTGTGTAATGCATAAGTAAGCACAACTTTTCACGAACATTTCATGAAACTGCACTTGCACTCTCACGACGGAGAAGTAATCGAAAATCCGTGAAAATTCGTACTCATGAGCTCTCTCGCTCTCTCTTTCTCTCTCTCTCATGTATTAGCAGGTGAATTACATATCTAACGCAATCTCGACACTGATTACTTTATACCTCGGAGAATACTACCCTCCCCTCCCCCCCTTTTTTTCAGAAATCGTGTTTTCTCCCGGAAAACATACAAGCAAAATCTGCACAAAACTCTTGAGGAAATGCGCTTGGAAGCAATAAGTATTAAATTAAGCGTTATTGTTATGATAATTTAGGCTGTTACGTACGTATAACGCATTTGAAAGCGCGATTATATTTTCCCTGAGGATTTGATATCGATAATCGAGTGTATGCGTACACTCCGACGACGGAGTAAGCAGAGCTACCTTTTCTTTTCTTCCGTAGCGAGATCGCGCTACGCCGACGACGCAAGATGGAAAAGGACGGATAACGCATGATATCGCTGTGTTTTCTGTATATATAGACGTATTTTGTAAGTGTAAATACCGTAGAGCTACTCTCACGTTAGAGATGATAACTTCAGCCCGTTTTGTAGCGACTAAGTGAAACCTATACTGTTAAGCAATATATCTGACGTTCGTATAGTTGGTTACTGATTAAACGGTGATATCATTTTGTATATTTGTATATCTCTTTAATTTAATCATCTTGACGATGATCCGTCATTGCGAGATCGATTGTTCGTGTTATAATTATTGTTTGCGATATGTAACAATAGCACGTTACAATATGATTGTCAGTTTTTCAAATATGAACATACACATATATATACATACATATACAGGATAGTGCGCAAAGCTCGATAGAGCTCCCTTTCGCCAACAGATTCTGTAGAACATTTCAAGACGAAAATCCTCGTGTAAAAATACCGAGGCTATTGCGGCTTTTAAGGACGTACATCGCTAAATCGATTTTCTATGTATTCGGGTTTCAAATTTGGACCACAAGCCATTATTATTATATCAATAGTGTTATATATATATATATAACACTATTATATATAATATATTAGATTATATATAACATTATATGTTATTTATTTTAGTTACATATATATATTAATAGTGTTATCTATATGCCTGTTCAATTTGATAAACCGTATCCGTACCAAAGTCGAGATATTCAATATCAAAGTTACTCGTACAGGCGAAACGTGTTCTACAGAGATATTTTAATTTATCGCGATAGAAATTGTTTATGTATTTTGCTGAAACAACTAATTGTAAACTATGATGCATAATGATATTAGGAATTATATATTACAAGATAGGGATGCGTAGCCGTACCGTTTACGCGTAATTGTAATCCGAAGTTCTCCATCTGACGATATTTCGAAGCGTGTCGGTCAATACATTCGCAAAGGCAACATTGTCAGATGTTCGTTTTTCACAAAGCGTGCTGGTCGTAGACTTATACAAACAGACTGCGCGTCCCGTGAGAAGAATTGAAGACTGCATTAAAATGAGAGAAAACAATAGCCCGAGTATGTCTTTGTCTAATATGCGCCGTTGTCTCTCCATTCTTAACAAAAAGCGAGAGAGAAAGCATCGCTCACGCAATATCTCTATCCTTCAGTGTAATCTTCAGCGCGCCCATAAGGACGCGCAGTTTATCTATATAAGTCTATGGTGCTAGTGTACATATATACATATAAGACGTAGAGCTACGTTAATTGTGTGTAGTGTGTATAATTTACGCTAAAAGTCGCGAAGTAGGGAGACGGTCGCGCTGTACGGAAAGAAAGTCGAACGTGGACGTAAACTCTTGGTTGCGATTACAGCCGAGGAACGTCCTTAAATGGGAAGCACTTGTAGTTGAGTAATCGGTCTTGCGGAAATTTCGCGCGCGCGGGCATGGTGCACCGTGAAGGTGCACAGTGTTCCAGTTTCTACAAATTGACAAGACTTTGAGAAGCGGCACCTTTGCGATGTCCACGCCTGGGCGCGCGAAATTAGCAGCAAACTGTATTAATGAACTACAAGTGTTTGTCGTTTAAAAACTACGATGCCCTCGACGATTTTTACATAAGAATTGTCGCCTTAGTACGTTCTACAAAGTCTGTCGGTGAAAGGACTATCGAGTTTTTCAGGACACCCTGGGACACATAAATGTGTATATATATGTATATATATATATACGCTGAATTACATATGTGTAAATAAACATTTTATAACTATTACTTTGACCACGTGTTCTTATTCCATTTTTCCACAAAGACGTATACTTATATCAACAACACGAGACACTGAATGCTAAAAGGTTTATATACCGATTATGGTCGTATCTTCCTGGTGTGAAACTTGCATTTTGAACTGCGAATGCTCGTCTCTTAATTGATTTACGACTTGTTGAAGGTTCTTGACTTCCTCCTTCAACTGTACGTTTTCGTCCAAGCACTGGGCCAGTTTTTCCGGCGCCTCTCTCAATTCCATGATGTATTCGTAAGCCCGCGCTAGTATACCCCCTTTGCTCTACGGGTAAATTAACGAGATGTTGTTACTGACAAATAACATAAGCTCGACGTCTCCACGAAACAAAGTAGAGAAACGATTGGAAAACACATATCGATTTAAGGACGTTTATCGGTAAACTGGTTCTCTATGTATGTTGTGATAGAAAATGTTTAGGCATTTTGCTAAAAAAAAAAAAACTAATCTGTGATGCATAATGATATTAGAAACGATATGTTACACGTTTAGGCGTAATCCGAAATTCTCCGTCTGACGATACTTCGAAGCACGTCAGTACATTCGCAAAGGCAACATTGTTCGATCTTCGTTTTTCACAAAGCGTGCTAGTGTATGCAAATAAGGCGTGGAGCTGCGTTAACCGTGCAGTGTGTACAATTTACGCTAAGAATCGCGAAGCACGGAGACGGTCGCGCCGTAAACGGAAAGAAAGCAGAACGCGGGCGAAAACCTTGGGCCACGACTACAGCCGACGAACGTCCTTAAGAATTTCGAAAAACCGACGTACTTGCGGCTCCAAATTCGGTTTCCCGTCCCCCTCCTTATTCACGCTCTGCTCGCATTCCGCGAGGAGTTTCGCCAGCTTGGCGATCCAATTGCTGATCTTGTCCCTCCTACGCCTCTCCACCTCGTTGTGCGTGACCCTCCGCCTCTCGTCCCTCTTAAATACAACTGTTATGTTTTCTAAACGGGGAAAGAATACAGCAATGGCGTAAAGTGCACCGGTGACGTCGCGCGGCCTACCTTCTTCACGGTGGTGACAATGTTCTGCGCGCCTTCTATCTGCAGCTTGGCGACGCTAGGCACAACTCTGGCGGACTCCGTCGCCACGACGTCGTTGCCGTTACTGAGCACGTACAATTGCCCGTTGAGCGGCGAGGTCAGCACTTGAACGGTGTTGTTCACGGGGGTGGCTATCGAAAGCTCATTGTCCTCCCTGTCGTTGTTGCTCACCTGCATGACTTTGTACGCCACCGTATTGTCGTCCCTGTTCACCGCGTACAGGTGGTACTGTATGTTGTCATCGTCGGCCTCCACCTCGGCCTCGCAGTCCACCTCTTCCAGGACCACGCCGACGGCCTCGTCGCCCGCTACGTTCTCGTCCGTGCTGCAAACCGAACGTCTCGTTAGCGACACGAGCAGCGGCACTCGCAACGTTGAACGACAGACGCGAAGGACTGCGCCTCTGTAAATAGAAGGGAAAAAAAAAACTCTTACCTCTCGTCAATAGCGTCGAACTGACTGGCCTCCATTTCGATATGCGGGAGGAGCGAGTGCTCTCGCGACCATCAATTTGGCGTGCGAGCGACGGCGCGGTCGAAGCATCAACGGTGATTACACCGTCGTGGTGACATTAGCAAGCCGGTATCCTCGCATTCCTCGCGTTGGTTTACAAGCTCCGCTTGAAAAACTCGCCGTGCACCAACGCCCTCTCGGCCGCGCCAGCGTGTTGAACGAGGGGCCGGCGGGCCGTGACATTTTGAGACCCCTGGGCGCACGTACGCGCATACACACCTGAGAACTGCGTATTCGAAATGAAATCAGTGACCGCCAATTACGTTTCCTGCCCAGCCGATAATTCGCTTGACCGCGGACGTTGTTTGAAATATTGTAATATAAGCGCACGAGCGTACTTCATTTTGCGTTCAATATATACGTAGAGAGGAAGGTCCCGTATTATGAGGCTTATAATATGAGATAGCGGGTTTTCAGCATCCAAATTCAATCATAAATCTTTCTTCGCAATGATTACGTGATCTAACAATGAATTTTCTATCAAACAAATTTCACTCCTAAGGCAAATGACGCCTATTAATTTAGCAATTAAGAGCCTATCTCATAATACGGGACTTCCCTCTACATGTGTGTGTAATATATTGATAAATATATATTGTATATATTTTAATACTATAATTATGTAACTATGTAATCATATAAGTAATACCCTGCCGGAAATAATTCTACAAAATTCTACAAAAGAAATAAAATATACTACCAGAATCTAAGAAATTCTACGTAAATTTAAAGTGTTATAAAAATCAACATGAAAATACTAGAATTGGATTACTTTCGTTATTTTTTTAAATATTCTACAAGTAAGCAGATATTTTAATTCTTTAAGATTTTGTTGTTTCTCAAATTTTTAAAACTAGTAACGTTTTGTACCTAATTTTTACAAAATTGTACATTTTCATGAAATACTACTTGCAATAATTTCTTGATTTAAAAACATTGTAATTTGTGATACTATTTCGTAGATTTTTACAAAAAACATTAATATTTCAATGAAGATATAAAAATTTCTACAAATTTCTATTTCAAGTCAATTTTTGTAGTTATTTATAGAAAATGTATTGCAAGTAGTATTTCATGAAAATGTATAATTTTGTAAAAATTAGTACAAAACTTTACTAGTTTTAAAAATTTGAGAAACAACAAAATCTTAAAGAATTAAAACATCTGCTTGCTTGTAGAATATCACAAAAACTAACAAGTGTTCCAATTTTAGCACTTTCATGTTCATTTTTATAACACAACTTTGTAAATTTACGTAGAATTTCTTAGATTCTGGCAGTTATATTTTTTTGTAGAATTTTGTAAAATTATTTCCAGCAGGGAAGTGACGTCAGCTTGCTAGCTGGGGCTCCATTCTGTACTCGGCTGCGATATCGCTAGTTGTCGAGTACAGAATAGAGCTGGGAAGGAATGGAGAGCGGTGGAGAAAGAAACGTAAGACGATTCGACAATATTATTTCAATATATTGAATTTTATTACAAAATTCTTTTATTTAGGCTACAACATGTAATATAATTGCGTTTGGTCTAGACCCTTATCAAAAGAAAAAGCTAAACTGCACCATGTTTACTATTGTCTTAACGAGCCACTTCGCTAATTCACGCCTCGAGGAAAGACCAATGAGGGTAAAGAGACTTAAACCGCGCGTCAAAGGTCCCAAAACTTCCATAGAAATTTTGAAATAAATCGTTATCTCATATCGCTCAGTTGTTCGACAGCTAGCAACTGTCGCAAAACGATATATAATTATATACAAATACCACTTATATAAATATTAGAGAATATCTCGCTAAATACATGCAATGCTGCGCACAAAAAAAGAAAAGTGGATTTAGAAAATGTATACTCTGAATTGAATGCACACGTTTCAATACACATCCATATTTATTAAGATATTCTCTATCAGCGATCTTGATCGATACCCTCATCGCAGAATATCGCTTGAAAACTACAAGGAACGATCTAGCGAACCAACGATCTCGATGCATTGCTTAGAAAATTTAAGACATTTAATACATTATTATTCCACTTTCTCAGCTCTCACAAAGATTATATAATTTTATCAAGTCAAAAATAGAGAGCGTCAACACCGCTATATCATTCGAATGATCATCGTCGCTCCTAATAATCGAGCCACATAACATAGGAGCTCGCTGCCGAGAGAAAGATCTCGCCGAATCGTACAGAATAAAATTTCCGATGCGAGTCAAATACATTTTTATGACCCCTTACAGATCGCTGTCAATATATAAGATCGCAGGTCGAGCGCCCCTGCCGATTGCACGTTAAAGAAAAGAAAGAAAGCAATCGCTCTCGCAACAGAGCTGGTTCCTCGAGGCGCGGCCTAAGAACCGGCGGCCCCAAAGACATGCTGTGCCTAAAGAAGAAGACGATAGTGATTGTACATCGAACTGCGCACAATCGATATACATCGTAATAGGTGTAAAAATAATAAAATTAGTGGTAGTAAACCCCTCTATTACATTATACGGCATGTAGAGTCTGTGTACATGTCCTGTGGGTGTTTCAATACGTGTGTATATGTGTGTGACCGATTCGTCTCGGCCGCAAAACGTTGAACGTAGTAAAGGAAACTCTCCCAAGCAAGCTAATCCTAAGATAATGTAATATCCTTTTCTTGTTTATCCATATAGCTTCTATTTATATTAGGTATGCATGTACGTGTGATAACTAAACAGATACATGATCTCTTCTTCTTTCGTCGCATGCGGCCACTAGCGGCCTTTTAACTTCAAAGAGCAGGAGGCTGCCGCGATCAAGATTCGAGAACAATTGAAACTTACACTTCGCGAAACGCGAGACCAGGATCGTCATCGCCAGTGCAATCGCGTCCGTTACAATGGAACGTCCCCGATCTATTTCGATTTCCTTCCTGCGCTCCAGGTCGATCGGCCGATCAGTCGTGTCTCGCACGCGGCGCTAATATCACTCGCGTGATCGAGAAAACAAAGATCGAGAACGGGCATTTCGACGGCACCAAGTGACATACAGGCGTCGAAGAGTTTGCGCAAGTTCCGAATAAATCAAATTAAATAGATGTAGGATCACGCGCAAACTATTGCATGCTATGGTGTAATAAAATTTCCCCATGCACCGCCAATCACGCTAACTGCTGGTTTTATTAAAATCCATTCTGTTTATTTTCTCACATAGGAATTACACTTAAAGCAGCCTCCTGTTCTCCAATATAACTATATTTAATGGTTTCTCATAGAATTATCAAGTAAAATTTGTAAAATACAATATACTGCCTATGATAAATTCTTAATCTTTTTTTCTTTATAAATAATTATAGTAATAGTTTTCACACCATTTGTTAATTTATTATATTCAGATGTCATTCTTTTGAATTAAATTTAAATATTACATTTTGTGCCCTTTCCGCACTAATTCATTTTTGTAGTATTTTGCATGACTGCACGTGTTGTGTGTATATATATAATACATGTAATATATATATATATATATAATCTAAAGGACTTACGACATATTTACAGTATATACACGTTAATAACGATGTATCGTTTAAAACCACTCGATAATTTTTATCCCCTTTCGGTCATTATTAAAGATCAATTTCTCGTTTCCTTCTTCCACCGGACAACGCCACTACTTGGCGGGGGAGAACGAGAGCATCCCATTCTCGTCTGAAAACTTTCCGGCAATAACTTCGCTTGAATTTTCATTGGCGGATTGTGATAACGAATAACGGTGAAAAATGGTTCTGGTCAGATCTCTCGCCCCGTCATCTCTCCCGGACGAGACGACCGCTCTGCGACTCGCTAGAGTATTCGCGGTCGCACGCCGTTGCATACAAATCCAATAAAACTGAAAGCTAATTACAGAAAAACTTACAACTCTTAGAAAATAGGCTCCGCCCTGTCGCTACGTTTCCACCGTTCCGCTCGCTCTACACTTGGCCAACCTTAGATTTGCCTCTGGCGGCATAAGAAGTGCAAGGACTACAGGACAACTGTTTGCTTTAGAGGTCGAAGAGGAAGACTCCTACAGCTTGTATCGTTTCACGTGGCAGCACACGCGCACTAGTGTTCTCGAGAAGATCGTCCGCAGTGTCTCTGTGCTCTATTCCGCGCTTTTACCGCTTTCCCCTCTGTAGCAAAAGTTGCGATCTTACCTGGGCACGCTCCCCCCTACCTAATGATTCAGGGTTGGCCAAGCTCTCACTCATGCTACGAATCGAGATCGTCCTCTCTCTGGCTACTGAAGTAAGATACCAGCCCGCCAAATTCGCCGGTGCCGTGGTCTTCGTCATTCGGATGCGACTGCTGCGGCGGGGGCGGCCCCTGAGGAGGTGGCGGTCCTTGGATCGGCGGTTGGTTGTCTGCCGGCGAGGAGAAGTGCTCCGAGGGATACGGCGAAGTCTGGTAGGTGGCCGCGTCGTCCGCCGTGGACATCGGCGGAGGCGGCGGGTAGGCACCGTAGTGGTAATTAGGAGGGGGAGGTGGGTGATACGGTGAGAAGTTGCCGGGCGGCCGATTGGGGGGTGGCGAGGGTTGCTGCATGCTGTGATTGACAGGTGAGGCGTTGGTGAACGGCGGCATCGGATGCCTGGGCCCCATAGGATTCTCGGCGAACCTGGCCATCGGCGGGCCACCCCTTGCGTACGGCGGAGGTGGCGGTGGCGGCGTCGGGCCGCCCTTGGCCAGCGGGCTGCCGGCCGACGGTGGGATCATCGCCGGTCCACCGGGCGTCAGGGGCGAGCTGCGATCCCTATTACTGATGGAGATCGGTCCGCCGCCCGATGGGGACGGGTCCATGGGGTGATGTGGCGTGTGATACATCTGCGGCCCGGGTACTCGCATACGCATCGGCGGCGTGCCCGATCTGACCGCGGCGAAATGCGGCGGCATGGCCGACTGACCCGCCTGCCTGTACGGGGACGGGATTCTGGCACGTGGTTGCATCTCGTATCCCGTTCGCGGTCCTCCCATCATCTGCCCGCCGGCGTTAGGTCCGCCGAAGTACTTGTGACCCATCGCGGCCGCCGCTGCAGTGAACGACTGCGGACTGCTGGACACCGGCTGGGACTGAAGCATTCTCGTGATGACGGAAGACTGTTGACCACCGGGTGGTAGCGATGGATAAACCGGCTGCGAATTCGACGGCTGCGTCGACGGAGGGCCCGGTGTCGGCACTGCGCTCGCCGGCGGCGTGGAAGGCGCCGAGCCGGACGTACTGCTACCTGGCGTGGGAAGAACGTTCGGTATATCGTTCTGTTTCATGTCTGAATTCGAGTCAGTACCCATGCCAGCGATTAAACCGGCTTCGGCCGCGGCCTTGGCCGCCGCTTCCGCGGCCCTAGCCGCCTCCAACGCAAGAGTCTTCTTGCCCTTACCACGACCTCGTCGCTTCGGCTTCATTGGCGCGCAGTCCGGATTGAAAAGCTGCCCGTCCGGTCCGGTCATAAGAGGCATGTGTCCCCTCTCGATGCTCCTATCACTCTCCGGCGTCAGGCCCGTAGATAACGCAGCGGGATTCAGATTGTGCGATACATTACTCACGCCGTCCGGCGTGCTCACCCCACCGATGGCTGCCGATGCGATGCCCAGATTCGGCGCGCCGTCCCTGCGCATCTGTTCAGCAAGTATCTCGGCCTTGCTGCGACGTCCGCGCTTCTTCTTCTTGGGTGCCTCGCCGTCCGTGCCCTCGGGTGCGTTAGGATCCCTCTGCCTCTCCGCTGCCAGTATCTCCAGGGCCTTCAGACGCGCTTTCTCCAGCTTCTTGGCTTCTCGCTCCTCCTTTTTCTTCTTCTTCGCTATCTCGATTGCCGCGAGCTCCAGTTGCCGTCTACCGTACTCCTCGTCCATCATCATCTGTTCGAGCTGCTCGTCGTCCAGATCGGCCAGCTCCCCGGCACCGAGACCCGTCAGCGAACCCTCGGGAACGTCCCCTGCAAACGAACTCGCTACCGAGATCGTCGTACCTGTTAGTCCAACGTTGTCTTGAAGAGTCTCATCCATCTTGGACGCTATTTCATTAATAGGATTGTCCATAACTGCGCCAATCATATCTCCGTCCATATCGTCCCTTAGCTTCTTGCGCCCTCTGTTCTTACTTCCAGGCTTCGGTCCAGGTTTTTTTCTTTGCTTCGGTACGTCATCGGACAACGATTTACGTTTCGCCCCAAGATTCTTGTTATTACGGGATTTTTTCGTCTTCGGTGACTTGTTTTTAAATTTTAGCGCATCCTTCTTAGGAATATAAACGTCTCCTAAAACGTTCAATCAATCTTTATAAATGCACAATTATCGTAATTTATATTAGTGCATTACATCAAACATTTCATAAATTATCATCAATTCAGTGTAGAATAATCTCGCGTGTAAAAACAAATTAGAAATCTAAAGTACAACTTTTTCATACAAAATTTAAAAAATCTTTAAAATTAAATACGTTCTATCTCATTTACGTTTGGTCTATTTTACGAGCAATTACTTTTTATTTGGTTACGATAAATTTCATAATCCTGTAAAGAACGTGATGTTACCTGAATCAGAATCTTTTTCCCCATCGTCATTCATATCGTCGGCCTCGTTCACCACAAACTCATCCTCGCTCTCGCCTGCCTTTCTCATCTGCAACGCTTTTTTCAGCTCCTATAAAAGAATAAGTAGTTAAATACACATGATAATTTCGTTAAAATTAAAGTCACTCACTTCTTCGCTATCCGATGCCATTTCCTCTCGATAATTGATCTTTCGTCCTCGAGTCCGTCTACTTAATATTTCCTCTTCTTTTTGCCTGTTTTCATCTGGAAGTCCGCCATAAATAATCTAAAAAGAATAAGATTTCATGAAATTACCGTTTGAAAATAAAATACTCATAGTTAGTCATCAAATAAAGATACGAAATGTACCTTTCGTCTAATAGCAGGAGCTTTCTTGGGTTTAGGCACAATGTCCTGAAAAAAATAATATTCAGTTTTAAATCTGTACTTAAATCTTACTTATAGCCAATTCGGTTGCTTGCACTAGTGCGCACTGAGTGCACACTAAAGCTTGTTTACCGTCAATTCTTATATTTAGGGACCGTCTAAGATATCTCTTGAAATACTCAGCGCGCACTAGCGCAAGCAATCGAAGTCGCTATTAATTAAAATATATTTACCTTTTTGATTTTCTGAATCGGTACTGTTTCCGACGGTTGCTGAACCTGCGGAATCGGGACATCTGAAGCTGCTGCTTCTGCCTCTTGTAATCTCTCATCTTTTACCTCAACGTTGTCTTCGCTTGGTGCAGCTTCAAAATTTTCCTGCTTATCAACGTCCAATATCTCATTTAGAGTGGTGTTGAAGTCTTGTAAATTAGGTTCACATTGTTCTTCAATTTTCGGCTCATCGTCTTCGTCATTCTCGCTCTGATTATCAGATTCTATTATACGTTTTCTCTTTTTTTTCTTCTTGCCCTTTGTTTTGGGTACTGTTCTAACCCTGGTTGTTGGTATTGTTCTGCTTCTGCAATAATTTTAGAAATATTTCAAATATTTCAAATACTTTACTGTAAAATTTGCAATATTATTATTTTTTAACATCACACGTTTCGCACTTTTTCTTTCTCTGTCTCCACGAGTTGTCGCTATCCTCGCTATCCGAATCTCCCCACGCGGATCGGGATTTCTTTCTTTTTGGTCGATCACTCTCGTCACTGTCATCATTAACTGAAAGGAATATTTATTTAGAAACTTTCTCAAGTTTTATTTAAAAATTGTGAGCAAATATTTTATATTGTTAAAATAAGTATAACTCAAATAATTTAAATATAAATTATATCTAATATTACAGACATTTTGTATAATCAATTTTTAATTAAAAACAATAATCCTCTGTAAAATACATAAATGCATAAATTAAATGAAATTAATTAAAACAATTACTCTTCTAAAAGTAATTTGGTAAAATTTCTACAAGATATTTGTATAAAATACATTGCTGAACCTGCGGAATCGTACGACGCATATGATTTCATGTAAAAGCAGTCAAGTAATAGGTAAATTCTGGATTCGCTCCTGACTATATTTTATACAGGGTGTTAAATTTCAAACGTAACGGGTGGAATATTTCGTAAACAATGTATTTTAGAAAGAAATGTTTCATACAAAAGTTATAGGGTTTCAGAGGGAACATAACATAGTAATATTCGTATAACCTTGGGCGGCGTCTCCAAAGTTAAGTGGAGGTGAGAACGAATTTTTTAAATGGAAACCTATATTTTTTATTATAACATCTTTTATATATATAATTATATATATATATATATATAATATCGTCCCTTGTACTGCATTTACAAGTAATTAATTAAACAATTAAAGGTTTTGGATTAAAAACATGCAAAATGAAATCCATTTTAAGCAACAATAAACTAATAAATATAGAAGACATAGAGATGTTAAAAAAGTAGAACAAGCTCGTTCATTGTCAAAACTTACTAAAATCTTCATCGTAAGCCCTAGTCATGCGTGCTCTGGTAGATCTTCTAACAGGACGCGAATCGCCCTTTCTACCACGTCGTTTCACGTCAGTAAAGCTATCATCGGACGATGACATGTGATCATCAAAGTCCTCCTCGTCGTCGGAACTTGAACCCTTGAAATCCTCATCGCTATCCGGATCGTCTTCACTACTTATATCGAGGCTGTTCAGCTTTCGATGTTTCTTACGTGCCAGCAATTTCCTAGCGACTATGTTTTGTTCCTCTTCCATATCGTCATCTTCATTGTCAATCTTATATTCCTCATCGCTTTCTTTTTCCGGCTTCGATTCCACATCGTCCTTGTCCTCTTCTAATTCCGTCATCTTTAACGCTTCAGCCTGTAAAACAACGAAATATAACGTATTGTATTTGACAATGTGTATTACGCTCCCACATTTCACACGTGTATCTAAAAATACAAAAGTAAAATATATGTTGGATAATTTGAAACAAGAAACGAATTTTACAAAAGGCTCGCGAACTAAGCAACACGTGTATGCTAAATTGTACGTGTTCTAAGCTAACAATAATACCAACGTGCGACCTATAACGAGATCATCTTCAGTGCTTAACAAATTTCAAAATTAGAAGCATTAGAAGTACATAAAACATATTTCTATGCATTTAATAATTTCTATCTACCTGTGCCTCTTCTTTTTCTGCGTTGACTATCGTTGCAATGTCCTTGCCCCTTCCCTGATTGCCGGCACCTTGAACCGCTTCAACTTCATCCTGAATCGCGGCATTAATCATGTCATCATATTCATTAAACTTGTAGGTGCTGGCGCACCGACGTTCTCGTAATTGATAAACTGGCTCGCTTTCCTCGCTACTCGAGGTTTCAGAACTGGAGGCCGACGAAGAAGAATCGGAAGAATCTGTAAAAATAGATTAATACCACGTATACTATAAGGGTACACAATTATTATTAATTAATACTGTGAGATTATTTAAAAGAATGTAAACAAACTGCAATATAAAATACGTGGCACTCACCGTTGTCTGATTCCTGACTGGATGCTTGTGATCCTTTCGATCCGTGTTGTCCCTCGCCTTTATGAAGTACGTTATCTAGACTTATACCAACAAAGGCCAATCGCTTCTTCCGCAGTACTTCGTTCTCGTGTCTTTTTGTTAACTGATCCAGTGTTTTTAGGGTCTCCCGCAATTTGGTCACCAATAAAGTCTTGAAAGATAATTTTATAAGTACACATATAACATATACATTATAAAATCGTGCTGAATTATGAAAATAAAAAACATGCTGAGGGGAGAGAATGAAAAGAAAGTATGCGACATTTATGTGTAAATAATTTACAGAATAATACTACAGAAAAAAAGAGTAAGCCTACATGTTGGCACGGTGGGCAGAACCAATCGCCTCCCGGTATAAGCATAAGTGCTGGCCTGAGGCATGAACAATGCCAACCCTTGTCGCAAGAATCACATAGAAGAATCCATTCGGGATGATCAGCCTTGCCACATTTCTGACAGGCATATTCATCCTCGGCTTCTTCGACGTCACTTTGGGCTAATGGAAGAGAAATACAATAGAATAGTCGAATAAAAGTGCCATTAAAGTACTCTTTAGCAAAGACCTTACCTTTTTGCGCTGTTCTAGCGCGTCTTAGCGGCTCAGACTCTTGATCCTTCTCAAGGTCGCTTTCCGGAGAAAATTCATGATCACTTTTAAACAGTAAGGATCCCTCGCTCTCTATCTCTTCGTCTTCCTCCTCCTCTTCTTCGTTCGCATTCTCTTCGTCGCTACTAGACCCGGATGAGCTCTGCCATGGGTTCGATTCGTTAAATTTAGCAAGCATCTTCTTCGTCCTCCTCCTTCGACGTTTCTTCTTCGACTTTTTCTCCTTTTCTATTTCTTTTATGACAACTTCCTCCTCGCTCTCCGGCTACACGACACAAATGATTATTTAGATAAACTTTATGTAAACCCTATAGTTACAATCCTTTATGCTTTTAACACAAAACAATATTTAATCGATAAGAATAATAACCGCTCCTTAAAAGCGAAGCTTTACGTAAAGACCTCGGCCAAATTACAAACCGATAAAGGATATTAGTTGTAAATTTAAAAAAAAACGTCTTTATTTACCACATTAAAATAAAACTCACGACTTGTACGTTTTATCGGTCTTTACTTAGCAGTTATCAGGACACATTAAAAATTATAATATTGTTGCGTCGCTAAAACATTTATTAAATTAGAAATTCGTAACCACACAGCGTAGTAAAAAAAATGTAAGACTCATTGTAATAATCGCTTATTGTCAACGCGTATAAGTTAAAAGGTGATTAAAACCATATAATTAAAATACATCAATTGAATCGGAAAATTAAAATTTCAATAATTTTCCTCCATTTATACAGATAAGGTATCCAACAAGTGGAATAATTGTAGTCTCTGTAGAATAATAAGAATTGTGAGCTTCAATGGCTTATAAATGGCCAAACGTTGACGAGACAAAGATGTAAGAATCAAACCATTACTCATTAGCATTTTCTTAATTCTATTGCGTACCTTCTGCTTTTTCCTCTTTTTCTTCTCCGTTTCCTTTTTCTCCTCTATTTCACGCATAGTTTCCTCCTCGATTCTACGCCTGTCCGCTTGCTCTTTTATCTTCAACTGCGCTATTCTTCTTGATTGCCTGACGGGCATTTCATCCTGCGGTATCCCCGATGTTTCCGACTCCAACGAGATATCTCTGCCTATTTCTAAGCCCAAGACCATTTTCCCTGTGGAAAAGGATTTTTCAGTCAACAAAGCTTTCACCAACGCCGCGTATCCCACGAGCGGTCATACGATATGTACTCACGTTTCTTCCGTTTCTTTTGCGCTGCTGTACTTAAAGCATCGTTGGATGTTCCGTCGGGATGAGCACCGGGCGACGCCTGATCGCCCTGAAATTCCGCGAGCTTCGGCCGATTGGGACGCCCGCCACCCCGGAAACCGCGCCTCCGTCTACCCCTAGGCCGACCCCTGATCTTCTTGTCGATCGCCATCGCCCGCATCGCATTCGGATCGTCGCCGCCCTTATTCCCGTGCTCCACCACATTACCGGGATCACATTTCACAGCCTCGTCCTCGGAGCTCGCCGCACCGCGACTCTCCTCGATAGACTTTCGCAATTCCTTGTCCGGCGTACGTCTCGCGCGCAATTTCATCCTTTTGCCGCCCATCATCTCTTCGTCCTCCGGCTTCGCAGCCCCGTCCTCGGAGTTCGATTCCTGAGCGCTGTTTCGCCGCTTTCGCGAGACCTTCGGCGGTTCCGTGGTGCTGTCCAATTTCCATCCCTCGTAAATCAACTCGGTCGCCGGCCTTACGCGAACGCTTATCTTGGGGGCGTCAGGCGCGTCCTCGGTGATATTCCTCAAAGTGTCGTCATCAGTGCACGCTAAGGGATCCACCTCTTCTTCTTGCGGTACGTCGAAGACACCCTCATTGTCCACGCCCATTGAATCGTCGGAAGCTACACAAGGAACACTTTTCATCTCGATGTCCTGGATTTCCGCGGACTCTGTCGTCTCCGCAGTCTCCAACTCGATCGTCTTCGGATCCTCCGTCGGCGTGACAGCCGCGGAATCATTTACCGTGCCGAAATCGTTTTGAAAGAATTGCGTTGTGGAGATTGTTGGCGCCTTCGCTTCGTCCTCGATCTGCGGCCTCAATTTTTCGGCCTCGTTGGACGCGTCCGAAGTCTTGGGCGTCTGCACATCGGTGCCTGCCAAGTTTTCCAGCGTCTTGTCATCGGTTTCCAAATACGGAGGCTTGGACTTCAACGGAGGGACGTCCTCTATATCCGAGGCATCGATCAGCCTCTTGCTGGCTTCTTTCTTAGAATCGAATTTTACAGCATCGATTTCTGAAATAATCTCCTGAGCGGAAAATGTCGTCGACTCGTTATTCGCATCCGAAGGCGCACTCTTATCAAAGTTGTCCGTAATCTTATTTACATTCACGTTTATACTAAAAGGCTCGTTTTGATTGTTGCAGCTGTCCAAGTTATTAACGTTGTCCACCTTCGTGGGCATCGCGTTCGAATAATATAAAGCGTCCGAAGACATGCTTCCCTCTAAGCTCGCGCTCTCGGCTTTCCACGCGCGTGCTTTATCCGCGTCCAAAGTGTTATCCAGTTTCGCTGGCACGATGTCGGATTCTGTTTGAATCGGCGGTAAATTCGTCTCTTCCGTGAACGGCTTGGCTAAACACTCTTCTTGCGGCTTCGCATCCCACTTATTGTCTTCGTTACCACAGGCAGCGAGATCTTCTTTGAATCTCTTGCGCGGAACAGGCAGCTCCTCGGTAATAAGTTCGTTTACATTTTTTGACCTTGCGATAGTCTCGGTATCCAAACTGACACTCAGTTTCTCGCCCGTATCTCTCGCTTGCTCCGTTACGTTGTATACACCGGTCACCTGATTATCCTCATTGAATTCCGTGCTCTCTCGAGTAATCGAATCTTTCGCGGATTCGTTCGCGTCGCTCTCGCTGAAATCGCAAACGTTTTCAGACGCTAAACAATCCGCCTTTTCCGTCGTCTCAACTGTATTTCGAATATCCTGTACTGCCTTCATATTATCGATCGAATTATTGAGATATTCTTTATTCCTCTCGCTGTGACCGATGCTTATCTCGAGACTATTGCTCTGAAGAAATTCAGTTGTCTCTTCAATCGCAACCGGAGCTACCGAGGGCTTCGTCACATCCGACATTTTAGAATCGTCAGCGGCAGAAATGTCGTGAATGTCCGTTTCTTCTCGAGGCTCAACCTCATTTAAGGACACTGTCGACTGATCGGTCGAACGATGTTCAATACTATTGCAAGCAGATTTAACTTGCGTCTCGTCAGCACACTCTTGTTCTTTAATTTTTGTGTCTTGCTCTACGACTATGGCTGCATCTTGATTTAACACTTCATCAACCTTCGTTTCCGAAGGTTCTAATTGCTGCTCGGTAGACGCTGGTTCTTGAGGCACATCAGAAGCTAAATTTGTGCTGTCGACGTCTTCTTCTTTAACAAATGACCTTTCATTCTGCTCCTCGCTCGTCTCTTGCTCTATCGGGGCGACAGCGTGGTCCTTGGAATCGCTTATTTGCGCATCAGACTCGAAAACATCGTCGCTAACATTATCATTGGAATCGCTATCGTAATTCGCAACTAGTGACTGTTTGTTAACATCCGCTACATTCGCTTGTGATTCCTGAGAAATTACATCTACAGTGCTCGCCTCGGGCTGCTCGGCAGTTGCGGTCACCGTGTCTGTCTCTGATGTTTCCACAACTGCCGAGTCCTCGGCAACTCCTTCACTTCTATTAATTTTGCAGGCATCCTCTGCAATCATCGTATTCTCTTTATCAGTGCTACAAGTTTCACTCTCGTCTCTTGCCGTCAACTCTGTGAGATCGTTGTCGGTTTTGCTCTCTGCATCAACTTCCGATTCTTTCTCTTTCTCCGAGGTCTCAGTTTCCGTCACTGACAAGTCAGTTTCGGATTGGCACGGTTCGCGTTCAATACTCGCAGGAGCTGGGGCTTCCTTCTCGAATTCCGCTGACACTTCTTGCGTCGTATCTTTTGGTGCCGCATCTCCTGGTGGTTGGCTATTCGTTACAGTTTCCTCAGTTTCTTTAAACGATTCATTCGACTCAGACACACGATCGTCTATAACCATCTCACCATTCGAATCTTGATCGACGCAAGAACTGGGATTTTCAGAAGCATTGTCGGCGTATTCGCTTGTAGACTGGACGAAGTTAGACGAGCTTGTTTCTTTCGCAGTTTCGACAATATCGGACTTGGACAGTTCGAAGATATTCGTTTCAGGCACCGTTACAGGCGAAATGTTGAACGTAGAAGGCTTATCAGTATCAGACGAAGTATTTTCAACCTTTTCATCGTCCGCTCGCGCAGGTTCGCTCCCCTGGGACGAAGAGTCTTGCGCGGAGGCGTCGTCTGAACTGCTAATAGTAGGAACTACATCGTGTTTATCACTTTCTCGAACGGACTCCGAACTGGTCACCGCAGAATTTTCAGGAAGATGCGTTTCAGAATTTATACCAAATACAGTATCGTTAACTTGCACGTCGTTCAATCCTTTGTCCTTGATCTCTTCGGAATCCCCCGACCCGTCGTCCTGGGTCCCCACGTCCGACAACGCGTCAGTTCTCTCGCTATTCTTGTCGTAGTTTACGCACAACGAATCGGCATCGGAACCGGCCAGACCCTTCATCTTCTCGTTGTCCGTGTCGGTCGAGTGATCCTCCTGACCATCAATTTCGGAGAAATTGTCATTCTTGTCACTCTGCTTGTCGCAACTCTCCCCGATGGAATCCAGGTCGGTTTTCTCGAGCCTGTTCGCCTCCCGATCATTCGCAGTATCCACCGCGCTCGTGGAATCTAACGGCTCGTTCGAGCTATTAACGTCCTCGAATTCCCTCAGATCGGCCAGCTCTGCTTGCGAGTTTTGCGTAAGCAGCGACAAAGATGAATGCGCCGTCGTCTCGGACTCCATCCTGTTCTGCTCTTCCTTGAAAACGTTGGTATCATCCGAATGATAATCGTTCTCGTTTTTCGAGTCGTCGACTGGTGCCTTTTCATCTCTATCCTCCTTATCGTCTAACAGCTGCGACGCAACATCCTCCGATCCTTTGACAGAGTCTTCTCGAGTCTCCGTGCTCACAAGGTTTCCAGAATCTGTAGACTGATCGCGTTGCGGTGGTTCGACAATCCCACATTCTGCCGGTTGGATGCTGGACTCGCTGTTCGAACTGATTTTAACTGAATTCTCCTCAGTCGTACTTTCATTAATACTTTCATTTTCAGCTAGCACCTCTGGCGTGGGGCTCGCACGCAATTTTGAGCAGCTATCCTCTGCCTCTTCCTTATCAGCGCAGACAGATTCTTGTGCGTTTGGCTCTTTGCTCGCCTCCATTTGAGATTGCGCGGGAGGTAAATCAGCAGCATTGTACTCGGATTCGCTACTCGGATCCACCGGGCTGTTGGGTGCCGAGGTCCTTTCCTTCGACGTTTGATCCCACGTGTTACTTGGCGCCTCAACTTTTTCCACGTCCTTGCTGTTATTTCCGCACAAAATGCCGTCAGACTCCGAGGTAAACAGATCCGATTTCAACGAGTTATTGTTCGTTTGCGTCAAGTCAAAATCTTCCGTCTTGTAATCGGAATAAACCACATCGTCCGCTGGCTTCGACGAAGACACGCATTCGTATTGCACAGTGTCCGTTTTTCCATCAACGGATGCAGTCAGGCTCTGCTCCGCCTGAGAAGCCTGAGACTCGTCGGCTTTCGAGGTATAAGAGATGCAATTGGGACCAAAAAAAAATCTCGGCGGAGATACGGCTGCTGGCTTGCATTCGTTATTCGTTACTTCCGGAGTGTCCGGCTCGCGCGACGCCACGCTACTCGAATCGGACGAGCTTTGTGCATTGGTCGCGTCCGCCGCAGGTTCAAGATCCGCACACGACTCGGGCTCCTGCAAAGTGTCCGCTCGACACGACGATATCGACGAGTCGCACTGCACGGGCTCTTGAGGCTCAGAGTCCCTCTCCTGCTTTATTGTATTTGTATCTTCCGAGCTCACGTCGGACACTTGCAATTTAAGACTATCGTCGACGGCTTCGCTGTCCGCGCTTGCAGGATCCTCTACCTTGACGCCTCGATCCACATCGGCGGAATTCTCGTATCCAATCGTTTTAGGATCCGATTCAGCATCCGCACTCGACAGTTTCTCTTTCACGTTGTCACGCTCGAGATCGTCCGTACCCTTCCTCAGTGATATGTCTCCGTCCTTTGATATGATACTGCTGTCGCATTCTCCTTTCTCCTCCGGTTTCCCTACGTCCCACCTGGACAACCTTTTGACGGAACCGGTTGTACTTTTAGGTATTATCTGGACGCCTAACGTGTGCTTGAACTTTGGCTTCTCTTGCATAGAATCTACTATTTGATAATTATCGTTTACGCTTACATTAGACTGCGGAAAGTTTCTATTTAATTTTACAGGGGTTTTGTTCGACAGTATCGAACCAGTGGAGACCTCGTCCTCGGTTAAAACCTTATTCTGCGACAACGCCGTGGTAGCTGAGTCAGGTTCGCTTTTTGATTCGTTGCTTTCTTTATTGTCAGTGGGCGCGTCGTCGCCGGGGTTACCCGTCTCGCACTCCGCGCCGGAACCCTCGCCGTAGAAAAAAGCCGTCGGTTCCTCTATAGCCTCTCCGACAATGGGATTCACCGCGTCGCAATCGCTGCCAGACCCCTCGCCTTGAACCATCATTATAGGCTCCTCGATGGCCTCGCTCACCTCGTCCCTCCAGTTGCCGCTCATCATCGGTCTCTTGTCCATGGAACCTCTGATCGGCATCATATCCGCCCTTATCCTCTTCAGCTGCATATCTTGCTGCACGTCGTCGTCCTCTATCGGACGTTTCAGTGGCGCGCTGTTCATCCTCAGCGTCGTCATCTTGCTGGGGTCGGAAAGTATCGCATAGCCTGGTAATCGGTGCTCGTCCTTGGCAGGTAATCTAGCTGTATTGTGGTACGGCCCCTCGTACGCGGTGAACGGCATCGCTCTCTTGTTCAAGTCGGGCATCATCACGTGGTTACGTAACATGATGTTGCGCGCGTCGTACGGCAGATTCAACATCTCCGGCTTGCTCACCTTCTTCGTGCTCAGATCCATTTCTCGGTGCTGGAAATCTTGCGTCCTGTAGCCCGGCGAGGGCAGATCCATCGTTTTTCCCAATTTTCGACTAGAAAGATCGATTCCGGAGAAGTCCACCGGTCTGTTCTGCTCGTTCGCGTTTTCCCAGCCACGCGGCGACGTCGACAAATCGATGCCTCTGTGACTCCTGTGCGTCGCCGACTTTTCGGATTGATTTCTCGCGCAAAAGTCCTGCGGTAGTCTGTCGTCCTCTCCGTTCACCATGTTCCCCAGCATACTGCTGGACCTCGCTAAAGATTCCGCTATCTTTTCCAGCGATTTCGGTCCGCTCGGCTTCTCCAATTTCTCCGACTGTATCCTTACAAGATTCGCAGCCAGCTGATCGATCGGTTTGACGGATAGTTTACTGTGCCCCACAGGAATGGAGTCCGTGGACGAGAAAGAGAGGCTGTTTTTAACAGGCAGCTTCTCGAGGGACTTGACGACTGGCTCTGTCATCTCGTCGGGAGCACCGTGTTTCTTCGCCGCGTTTAAGGGCGCGATAACAGACGTCGGACTTGCTAACTTCTCCTCCGGCTGCTGCTGCTGCTTCAAGTCCACAATATTCACCAGTTTCAGCGGAGATGAAGTAATAACGGGCGTTTCTATAGATTTTAACGGTGCCGACTCCTCAAGTTCGGCTTTCGTGACACCGATCGGTTTATGCGTTATCGAGGACTGGCTTTCCGACAGCAAGGTAGCGGACGTTTCGTCAGTAGCCTCTCTGTGGCTCGCGTCTTCCGACGTTGCGTCCACCTTCGCGTTTGGCGTCTTTAAATTGGTCGCCGATAACGAAGACGAATCATTTGTACACCTCGATTCTACACTTTGCGCCATTTCTTGAGAATCGTCTTCCTCCGTGATCTGCTTGGAACTTTCGTCATTCGTCATATCATCCTCTTCCGCGTCAATATCCTCTTCTTCGTCAGCTTCTTCCTTCTCGGTCTCATTAATAACGTCGCTCTGAGCTTGATCGTGATCCTGATCAGGTTCTCGTTCGTCCTCAAACTCGTCGCTCGTACCGTTCGGTAGCTGCTTCATCTCGACGCCGTTCTCTTGCACAACTTCGTCCTCTTCCAAGCTCGGAGACGTTGTCACTTGTCCAGTGTCAATTATAGGTTTCTCAGAGATCTCTAAGCTGTTGCTATCCTCGTTAATTGGTATAGCCTCGATCTCGCCATTCGACAGGGTACTTATGAGACTAACAACACCTTCTCGATCCCTATTACGAATAACACAATATGCAATATTGACAAATATGACGAATAATAAATAGATGGCAACGCAAACAGTAATTTGGCGTTTGTTACTTAGCTTAGTATAAGAAGAACGAGACTTACTTAGCTACTAATTCCCAATTCTCTTCGTCTAAATCTTCCCTATAAACTCTTATGTTGCACTCTTCGTCCAGCTGACACCAATACGCTAATCCACTTTTGTCCCTTCCTAAAGGTTCCACACGTAACTCGTCAGCTGCCAATTTGTTTACTTCATTCTTAAACTTTTGATTTAAGTCAAATTGTGTTTCCAATAATACCTAAAATAGAAAAGAAAGCGCTTGGCGTGAGATTGACCTGTTCAGCCCTGCGGAGAAAGGGGGAGGGGAAAGACACAGTGCGGTTCATACTTTGAGTAAACGCAATTTAACGGCGACGCGAGCTTTCTTGTAACCGAAGCGCTCAAGTTCCCATCCATCCTGATTAGAGTACGTGTGGCAAAACTTGACTAGCGCCCTTTCCCACTTTTCTGGTGACACGGTTTTACGCGTTTTTCGCAACAGTTTGATGTGCAGATTTATTAATTCTTGCGACACTAGAAAAAAAAACACAAAATTTGTAAGAAAAACAGGCGAGACAATCGCTTATAAACACACACACACACACGCACACATACGCGCGCATATGTAAATACAGTGGATTGCGAATTGCAAGACTGCATTGGCCCTGCAGTGCAGATTAGCTTTGATCACGGTTTAAGTTGCCTCTTGTCTTTCTCGAATTTTGCAAAACTAGAAAAGGACAGGAGGTAAAGCTACACCGAGGTCAAAGTCAATCAGCACTGGTAGAAATGGGCGCGTTCGAGAGGACGTACATAATAATTCACACTTGAATATCATAGGAAAGGCCCCTATTATGAGATAGGCTCCTAACACGAGACAGCGAGGTTTCTGCCGGATTAGTTGGCCCCGCCATGAATTCACAAGAACCGTGTGATCGTCGCGAAGGGATCTGCGATTGAATTTGGATGTTGAAAATTACTGCTGTCTCATATTACAAGCCTGTCACATAACAGGAAACTTTCCTCTATATATAAATAGGCTACTCCAGCGAAACGCATTGGCATCCTCTCCAATTAATCGTAAACAATTTGCACGGTCGTCTCTCGAAGAAACGCGATATGCATTCCGATCCCCGGCGTTTGTCAAACGGAAATAATTGGAAGAGTATCGCCGCCCCCCCGAGAGATCTCTCCGGGCTCGAAATCGGAGCGTTAAAGAGAAGCGACTCGCGGCCGGAGCCGCGAACGTTGAATGGGGTAGCCGAGCGATGCCGACAAAAAGCCCGTGCCCGCTTTGTTTACGCATTCTATAGTAAAGGGAACAATCGCCCGCGGATTCCCGTGCGCGCTCCGAAACGGATCAATCAATGACGTTTTCCCAGAAATCGGGAGCGGGCCCCGGCGTGGCGCGCGTCGCTTGTAAACTCGTAATCACGTGTAACCGACAGGCTGACAAGGAAGGTGGCAGCACGCGGCGGAACAACAACAACGTGAAACTCCCGTATCTCGCGGCTGTATCTGTCAATAGCAACGCCTCGCGGGAGGGAGCGTGTTATTAGGCCGTTCTGGTCGGCGCGAAACCGCGCGGAACGCGCGGGCGGCAGAAGGGCGCGGAGGGGAACGCGGCGGCTACCTATACCGATATCTCGCGCCAAGCCGCTCGCACACACCAAAACAAAAAGCGGCGGTGGTGGTGGCGGCG